CCATTTTGCGCACCGCACTTGAGCCGCACTGCGTCACACTGACGTTTAGACGCGACTGCTAACACCAGGCGCCTAAATGCATGCTATGTACTGCTGCATGTGCAAAAATTTCCTTCATTAAATTAATGAAATTTATGTACATGCACTTCTCAACTGCCATGTAATAAAACTGTCTTAAGTTTTAATTTGATGGCAGTTCAAAGCATGCTCGGCCTAGTCTGATGCATCCTCCGGACACTGCTTCCGGAGTCTTCTGCGGACTCTGCATGGCTTACAACCATGCGGAGGTGGTAATAGTTGATTACCATTGGCCACAGTGCCTACCCACTACTTTTTGGTCCAATAAATATTTTTTTATATACATACATACATGCAAACATACTGGTCTCCCCTCTCACTGAGTTATTCAAACTTTGTAATTTGTCCCTTTACTGAACTCCGTTTAGTGATTAAGTCTTGTAACTCTTGTGCATCTTTTAGATTTGTTTCGCTACCAGATTCCTTATCTAAAGGCATTTTAGATGTTAATCTGCTAGCAATTTATTCGAAAGGTTTAATATAGCTTAGTTCGCACTCTTCATATGGATTTACCTGGGCTTGAGGTGAACCAGAATGTGCTGATATGCCTGTTACTTTCACTTCACGTTCAATTTTATTTAGCTTTTTCATTTAATTTTGGCATGTGAATATGTAAAAAAAAATATGTATATATAAGAAGATTTGAAAGCGCAAGTAGAGTCACTGTTTAAATAGATGGGATTACAATAAGGAAGTGGATAGGAACTTAAGGAAAACACTTAGCTGCATTGGCAAGGCTGCGGAGATTGCTGTAGTCTGATCACCGGCTGAAATTGACTTCAATGGCTGGGTTTCCGAATAGATGGTGTATATTCGTACGTTCTTTGTTGCGATTATGTGTAGAATAATCGTCGATATCGTCCTGTCACGGTCGCCACTTTTGTGTTTAGATTGCACACAAATGAAACATTTAATTTTGGCTTTAATTCAATCAATGTGTATTTCAATACTTGAACACAGTTCTTAGGTTGATACATGTGCTGATGAGATAAAAAAAAAGCAAGTGAAAAAGAACACGTGCGGTTAGTCTAAGTTGACAGTTCCCTTGACAGACAAGTATTGACAGTCAGAATGTTGCCACCCTTTGTGTTAAGGAAAAACGTTATGAGGGTGTCGTAGGCGCGAACAAATAATACGCGCAACAATAAAATATTTTCTTTAAATATTGAGTGTCAAACGTCAATATTGCCATATTTGTCTTTGTAATTAACGACAATCCTCGTAAACTTTTTTATCGACATGTCCTTTTTTTTTTGGGCTTTGAGTTAGATGGCGGTTGCCCAAACGCCAGGGTATCCCTCTTCTTTATAGTTGTACAGCAGAATGTTACACGGAAGTGTAACTTGAAAGAGCGTAGTGTGCGAAGTGGCACATAGTGAGCATGCTCAAATACCTCATTAAATTGATCGGCTTGTTAACGGCGGTGTAGATGATTTGAGCTCAATGAAGAGCCTGTTTCTTGATTAAACCAGAAGGTTACTAAAATTCCATGCGGTGAGATGATAGTGGACGTCACGTTCACAGCACAATATCGACAAGGTTGATCGACTCTAATTTCGGATGTGGTGATTTGGCGGGCTTATGTCATGCGTGTGTTGTTTGTGGGCGATTTGTGATGGTGATGAGATTTGAATGTGGGGGATGGGATAGGGGGGAAATGAGTGAGGTGGACGGTATTACCACCTGTGATAAGTTTGATTATTTGATATTAAGCTTATAAATTAAAATTTAGCGTAAATTTTTGTTAAGAACTCCGCAAGCTGAGCGATTTTGCGATAGTCAAAGTCACGAAAAATCTCGGTGAAGTCGGCGTTGCTAAGGACGAGTTCGAAGCCCTCACGAGCGTCGGCCAGCAAGTTGCAGTGGAAGGTCTGATGAACGTAGTTATCAGTCAAGCCACATCTGCAAGTGTTGGTATTTATCGCGTTGATGCGATAAAGGTATTCATTATCGTAGGTGTATCCAGTGAGGATTCGGTTCTATATTTTGATCTCTTTTGGGTTAATTTTAAATTTGAAAAACCATGTCTTTTTTCGTTTTTGAGTGCAGATCTGTGCAAAGAGATTGTGCTTGTTGTTGGAAAAGGCGAGAAATTTTTCATACCATTTGTTGTGAATGGAGTTGCGTATGCTTGTTAACGCCTCTTCGATTGTAAACTTAGATTCTAGAGTGTTATCACAGTTAACGGCTGTTTTTGCTAAAGAGATCTCGTTACTCGAGATCCCGACATGACTAGGGGTCCAAATGATGGTCACGTTGTAAAAGTCCGCTTCTTGAATTAGTTTGTGGCATTCGGCAATCAGATGGGTTTTGGTCTTTTCTTTGGCTAGAAGTTTGCAAGAGGATAGACTGTGTAAATATTAGTATCTTGTTACAGTCGATTTCTTTGGCAATTTGAAGAGGTTTAACAATAGCTGTTGATTCGCCATAGGTTGAAGACGCGCAGAAGTTTATTTTAAAAGTGTACTCACGTTTGTCCGTATAGTTATAGACACCGCACCCTGTGGACAAAGGTCCAACAGAGGCATCGGTGTAAAAAATGCAGAAGTTAGATTTCTTATAGTCATTTAAAATAGATGTGTACGTGGCTTGGATGACCTCACTTGCTAGGTTGGTCTCTTTGTCATTCAGTGTCTTAGTTATTACGTGTAGGTTCGGTGACCGAGCTGATTCACCAACGATGTATTGGTCATCAAAAATATGTTTAAATTCGTTAAATACAGCACTGTAGCTGGAATCAACGTTGGGCGAGTTGTATATGAGCTCTCTAAAAGAATTATCGGAGGAAAGATTATTAATTAGTTCTTTAGCAGTGAGCCACTTAGCCCTTTCAGCCGGGGGTAGTTCATTCGCAAGGGCATAGATAAGAGGGATTGGAGTGGCTGGTGTGAGACCCAGACTCCTCCTTAAAAAGCTATTTTGGAAAGTTTGAATTTTTTTAATGACAGATTTCGAACAGTTCGATGTGGATGACCTACAGTATTCAGTTTTACTCCTGACAACAGATTTATAATAGTTGAGTGCGACTTGGGGATGTAGTCCAGCTTTGATTGTAGTGATGCATTTGAAAAGATTGGCGTTTCTATAAGATTTTTGGATTGTGTCGGTGTAATGCTCTTGAACAGACAATGAAGCACTAATGTGCCGTCCAAGAAACTTGATGGTGTGTACCTGTTCAATTGAACGTTTATTATCGTGCGCTTGCCTCTGCCTAAAAGCATCAACTTGGTTTTGTCCGCGTTGAAGGACAGATTGAGAGTGGAACATTGGGAGGCGAAGTCATTTAGTTTGCGACATAAATTCGCAGTTGCCTGCTCTAGACTGTAATGGAATGACATGATCAGAAAATCATCCGCATACTGGTATATTTTAGTGTTTGAGTCCTGAATACTGTGAAGGTTCTTGGTGTATAGATTAAAAAGACATGGTGAGAGGTAACTACCTTGAGGAAGACCATCATGGATTTCTATGGTTTCTCTACCAAGTTTCAGTTTTCTAAATGAAAGGAAGTTGGTTATCCATTCAGTGTATGCCTTGTGGATATCTGCTTGGACCATGATGTCCCTAAGCTTACTGATATTAACACAGTTGTACGCATTGCTGATGTCTGAGGAACATATGATTACTTTTTTTCCTTGTCGCTTAAGGACTGCGGCTTCATGTAATATATAGTTGACGCAGATTGTGGCTGATTTATGCGGTCTGTACGCAAAGGATCGTTTAGGAATTATGTCATTTTCCTCAAGGTGGTTAGATATTCTGTCCTTTATGCAAAGGTTGATACACTTAAGAAAGACTGAGATGAGGGCTGTCGGTCGAAAATTGCTGAAATCACTAAGGTGTTTATCTTTTTTAGGGATGGGTACTACTTTAATGGTGCGCCACTCTTTTGGGATCTGGTTTGTCAGGAAGACATCGTTTAATGCAGTTCGCAAGTTGTTAAGTGAGACATCTGGTAGAGCTTTTAACATTTTATATGTAACTAGGTCTACCCCTCCGGCTGAACTATTATTTTTGGAATGTATGTTCTTGTGCAACTCGTCAAAGGTGATAGCTAGGGCGTGGGTGGGAGTTAGTTCTTTATCAATTGGTAAATGGGAGTTGTGAGAGGGAACTTGGCTTTTGAGTAGGGCTAAGAAGTTCTTGTCGTTGTCGCTAGACCACTGCGAGTTGTTTGTGTTCTTAAAGTCGCCTCTTAGTGCTTTCACGAATTTCCATGCATTTCTAGTTGAGGGAGCAGCGTTCAGTTCGTCTATCTTATTTTCAACAAGCACAGCGTGAATCTACGGATACCCAACTGACAACATTAAGGTTGGTGGTACGCAGAAAAATTTTTATCTGGAGTAAATATCGCCACACAATACGGGTGTTGTATGGGTTCTTTTGATACGAGAGTTGTACGGGTTCTTTTGCTACGAGTTTTAGTACGAGTTCAGATTTCAAAGGGCCTATCTCCATAGGGAAACGCTGATGTCGTGACAGTCATGTCCCAATAGCTCTGATCCCATGATTCATTAATAGGTTTGGGAATTGTTGGCGGTAACTCACTAGTTTAGGGCAACAACTGCTAAAAAAGGTCCGGAAATGTCGAGAGGGGTATGAATCGACGCGTTTCGCTCCCCGTATTAACAATCCGGGGGCGGAAGGTTAATATTATTAACCATTTAAAAGTTATTAACTAAAAACTTTTGTTAAATTTCGTTGTTTTGTATGGGCAATTACCCCGACAAAAATTCGCTACATCACCTCTTCTAGCTTTTTTACCACTACCAAAACGTCTCCCGTTATTGTTTTATTAAAACAATATCATTTATTCACTACTATTTCATATATTTCACTAATAAAACAGAGTAAACAAACTTTGCGTTTGACAAAATTTTTATAATCTAGAATCGCTAGTATTGTCACTTTATTTCACATTTCATTTGCGCTATTAGGGTGGGGTTTAGTAGCGCCCCCAACTATTTCGGGCTATTCCATCCAAAGGGGTGGCCCGATCCAACAAAAATTCCACACACTTGTAGCCAAGGGTCTACACATTGTTTTAACACCCACTTTTGTAATTTTTGGTCACTAATTTATTTACAAATTGGGTTTGAAATACCCCCTTTTTTGTAAAATTTGGAAATTTATCACTTCTATTCTCCTTAAAGCAGCCACTTCACCAATACATTTTTGGTAATTCTCTAATATAGGGTAGCAGGGTAACGACGCGTTTCGGTCCCCCTATTAACAATCTGGAGGGGGAGGGCTAATATTATTAACCATTTAAGTTATAAACAAAAAACTTTTGTTAAATTTCGTTGTTTTCTATGAGCAATTACCACGTCAAAAATGCACTAAATCACCAGTTTCCACTTTTAAAACACCATTGAAACGTTATTGTTTTATGCAAACAAAATCATTTATTCACTTTTATTTTATATATTTCGTTAATA